TTTGAGCCATCAGAGAACAAATGAAGTTTTTACATGCTTTAAATAAAAAGAAAAGGAATATGTTAAAAAACAAAACAAACTCTCCAAGATTTTACACCCAATCTAGAGCAAATTTGATTCCAGGATAATTCTTCAGTTTCAAGTACAACATCCTCACTAGATGAAATTATATGAGAAAACAACCTTACTCACATCCCGGATTGTTTTTTATACCAAGTTACAATTTTCAATTGAAAAACTGTCATAGAAAATGTTCAACTTGTTACTTGCTTTCCTTCACTTGCCTAGTAAGAAAAACCACATGTTAAGATCTTTTTGAACCTGGCTGGTTTTGAGGCTTCACTTCCTGTTGTGAGGAGGAAAACGAATCTTCAGCTCTAAAGATTCAGTTCTAAAGATTATTTTCGTTCTCTCACATCAGCCAATTTAGGTTTAAAATTCATGTGTACTGAACGAAACTGAAACCCCCTGTAATTTGGTATTTCCAAAACTTGTAATCTCATGCGGATGGGGGAAGGGGCAAAGAGTTGGAATAGTTCTATAGATTTTATAATAATGTTCCTTGGGGGGAATAATATCTGAGAAGGGTAACTCTAATGCCCCTCTTTTTTTTTTAATGAGTAAATTCTTGGAGTTTGGTCTTACCCTGAGATATTGTTCTGTTAGGCTTAGGACTCCTGTATCTCATCCCTACTGCAGTATAAGGATCTTGTGACGACTCAGGGCTGGTGTGAGATGAGATTGGGACCAAGCCCATGCTTTGATTTGGGCTTTTCCTCAGAGCAGCCCTATGGTTGGTGATGGAACGCCTAATCCACTGGAATCTCACCGGGCTGCAGGGGGCTGGGTAGAGGAGGTCCACCACTTCCAGAGAGCTGGTCTGGCCTCCTTCACAGGCTCTCCAAGTCCTCTGTAACTCTCCTCTCTTTCTTCTGCAAGCTGCTTTTTGGTTTGAGCTCTTTTGAGCCACGTTTCTATGTCTTTGGTTCTGAGTTTATCTTAACTGCTCCCTAGGGCTCCCAGACTCCTGATGGTTCCCAATCTTTCCCACCATCTGAATTCACTTACACACTTCTTTAATACTGGCTCTCAGCTAAGTTTTAAATGCCACCCTCCCACCCCTGATTGAAAAAAAGAAAAAGAAAAAAAAAAAAAGTGCTTTAGCGTCCTAGCAACCCGGTATAGGCAGAAACTCCCTCTGAGTGACTGGTGGGTTCGAACTGCGCACCTTATGGTTCCCAGTCTAGTGTATATGCTACAGAGCCATGGTGCTACCCATGTCAGATACAAGATACATAAAAACCCATATAAGATACATAAATGCCCACATAAGATTCATATTTGGGCTAAAACATTTTGTTAATAGCTACTAATTAGGCTCTATCTATTTCTCATAACTGTTGTTAAGTGCTGTCAAGTCAATTCTGACTCATATTGAGCCTATATAGGGTTTCTGAGGAGCAGGTGGTGGGTTTGAACCAGTAACGTTGCAGTTAGCTTGTAGTTTACAGTCCAGTGCTTAGTCTGGAGAGCCACACCAGGACTCTGATAACTTGTCATATCAAAAAAGACTCTTGGAGTCCTCTTGGTACCATTTTTGGACCGAAAGGCAGGTCAGTGTGAGAGATAGTTTGTGATGTGGAGTTGAGACTAGGCCCTCGACATGGCAAGGCTGTTGTTGTGAAGTACTCTCAGGTCAGTTCGGACTCGTAGATACCCTGTATAGGGTTTCTGAGGAGCAGCTGGTGGGTTTGACCTGATGGCCTTGTGGTTCACAGTCCAGTGCTGATCCTACAGAGCCACACCAGGTTCATGGCCTCAATTTTAGTAACAGCCAACTATTATAAAATGTAGGGCTAGTGTTGCTTTTGTTTTATCTTTTTTCCCCCACGTGGTGAATAACTTATTTGTGGGTAAAATATTATCTTAATATTCCTAAAATAAAAAGTCAGGGCAGGATTTCCCTGAAAATATAATTTAAGTAATTTAATTTCATCATCAAGCACTAAGTCATAATTATACATTAGAAAGTGTAATTTTCTTATATATTTATATAAAGTTTGGTTTCTAGTTATGAAGTGTTTGTTTATTGTATCTGTAATGATACTAGTATAAGGATCCCTGGTGGTGCGGTGGGCTAAGCATTGGGCAACTAGCTAACTAAAAGGTCAGTGGTTCAAATCCATTAGCTGTTCTGTAGGAGAATATGAGGCTGTCTTCTCCCATAGGGTTTACAGTCTTTGAAAATGAAAGGAGACATTCTATTCTGTCCTTTAGGATTGCTATGTTTTGGAATAAATGCAACAGCAGAATTATATTAGATACTCATGGTTATAAATAACACAATAATGGTAATATCATTACATATAACATTTTATATAATCATATAAGTTTACATTTATATATAATCTTTTTCATTTTAAAAACATTTGTTTTCACAATCTTGTTAAACCTTTATGAGACTTACAGGATTGGAATGATTACAGATGTGTTGATTTTACAAATGAGAAAACCTTTTCAGAGAGGTAAAGAGAGTGTCCCTGGGAAACACAGCAGCTAAGCAGCTACTAGGTGTGAGAGCCATGAGTTGATTCCACACCTCTGGTGTTAAAATTCCATCCTATTTCCATTAGAGTCTATTCCCTCTTTAGGCATACAGTGTAACAATATTCAGTAGCTTTCAGATCAATAATGGGATCTAGAGAACATTTGCTAGGTACATCTAGCATCACATTATAAAATGTAGTAACAAGATTATACACCAACTTCTAGAGCTGTTATGGGAGGTCTCTGGGCAGCACAAACAGTTTATACTTGACTACTAACCTAACAGTTGGTGGTTCGAACCCGTCCACCATCACCTAGAAAGATAGGCCTGGAAATCCACTTCCGTAAAGATTGCCTTTCAGAAAATCCTATGGAGCAGTTATACTCTGAAGCACATGGGGTTGGCGTGAGTCAGAGTCAATTCAATAGAAATGAATTTCAGTTATATATGTTTTCCCAAATTGACTTAACATAAAAGGTTAAGTCATCTAAAACAGATTTAATTAAGATACTAGAGAAGACAAACCTGGTGTGGCGATGTAGAATATAAACACTGGACCGTGAACCAAAAGATCAGTGGTTTACACCCACCAGTCGCTCCTTGGAAACTCTTTATAGGGTTGCTATGAGTTGGAACAGATTCTATGGCACTTAACAGCAACACTAACCTAAAGGAATCCTGGTGTAGTGCTGTAGGAGAAGCTCTAGACTGTTAATCACAAGGTCAGTGGTTCAAACCCACCAGTCACTCCTTGAAAAACCTATACAGGGTCACTATGAGTCAGAACCAACTCGGCTGCACTTAGCAACAACAACAAAGAGAAGAGAAAAGAAACTTCCTTATGCTACACACAAACACACTTATATCCACACACACATATAAACACACACACACACA